GGTGTTGACAGGATCAGTGCCTTGCCTGAAGGAGTTATTTGTCACATTCTCTCATTTCTTCCAACAAAAGTTGCAGTTCAAACCTCTGTACTCTCAACAAAGTGGAGAAAGATTTACACTTTGGTTTCTAGTATAGATTTAGAGTTTGGACTTTGGATGATGACAGAGAGGAGATTGATGCTGAAAAATCAAATAGGTTCTCAAATTTTGTAGATAGAGTGTTCTTCTTTCATGATAAACCATCTATAGTAAGTTTCCGTCTCAAGTGCTATCAATACGTCGATCCTTTGCATGTTGATGGGTGGATACGTGCTTTAATGCAGCATAGCATTCAAGAGCTTGATATATACAACCATCATTTTGCTTTTCTGGGTATGCCCTTACCAGCTAGTGTATTTTCTTGTGAGACATTGGTGGTTTTGAAAGTGAATTTAAATTCGTCTTATCATGCTCTGAAAGTCCCAGCCAGAATTTGTCTCCCAAATCTTAAGGTTCTTCACATGCATGACTTTTCCTTTTCAAATGATGGTTCTGGTGAAAAACTGTTGTCAAGTTGCCCAGTTCTTGAGGATTTGGTTTTGGGATCCTGTGCTTTCAACAATGATCGTTCCGAATTCAAAATTTCTAATTCTTCACTCAGGACACTAACCTTACAAGACTACTACACTGAACTTAGTGATCAATTTGTTCAGATAATGATTTGTGCACCCAATCTTTTATTATTTAAGTGCACCAGTGGGTTGCGACTTGATGTCATTCTATGCAACTTGTCTTCACTGGAGGATGCACATATTAATGTTCGGGCATATGCACATGAAGTTTGTCTAGTATCTTACAGGGTACGGGTGCTAAAACTACTGCTTGGTATCCAAGGTGTTAAGTCTCTTTTTCTATCAAACCACACCATTGAGGTATGTGAAGTCATTGGTAGGAAGATATTTCCCACTATTTGCTGTGTACACAAACATCCCATGTTTCTATGTTAGACTAATAATTTGAAATACATGTTTTTTTGCCTAGGCCCTGTCATATGGAGGAAACCTTCATGCCGATCTTCCTACATTTCATAATTTGAAGTCTTTGCAAGTGGATTGGCCATCTGTTGAGTACCCAAGGGAATTTGAAGACACCATTCAAACCCCAAAGGAACTAATGGACATTCTTCAAAAGACACCTAACTTAAATTATCTTGGGATGAGAGAGGTAGTTTTTTTATTACTGTTGTTAATGTGGTTTAGTTTTATGATTTTTCAGGTGATGAACTGAGCATGATTACTCCTTTTTTAAATGAATGTCTCCTGATTGTGTCAGGGACTTGAACCAGATGCTCTCAGTCAGGAAAAGGTGATTTTGAATGCCGTTCCACAATGCTTCATCTCTTCCCTCAAAAGGCTTGACATCGCAGCTTTTGACGGAACTGCAACAGAGGTTCCTTTCTTGAAATATTTGCTTGAGAATGCGACTCTATTGCAGAAAATGTCAATCTTTTGTACGGAGAAGCTTTCAGCAAACTTGGAGAAGCAAGAGGAGATAAAAAATGAATTAGAACTGTTCTGTGCAGACACAACTAGTTGTGTAATTGAGTTTTTGCCTTGGAATAACTGGAAATATGTGCCGGTGCATAATTTTGTGCCGGTTTCTTTTTGAGTAATTTTGCTTTTCTCTTATTCTATCATAGAAATGACCCCTGTTATCTTGGAAACTACCCATTTGATGGTACTGGTGCAGTATCTTTGCAATGAATTACTGTAAGAAATATGAGTTATGGCCAGAGATGGGGTTTATATGATCACATGTCTTGAAAGGGATTTTATGTG